TTTTTGAATAGGACATCCGGTCGCGGAGGAGGGGTGTCCTTATTGATTAATAAAAGTTTTCGCAGCGAAATGTTAGGGGAATACTCGTGCACCAATGATGATTATGAAGTGTTATCCTTGCTTGTGGACAGTAACATTGTGTCAGTCTTTTACAGACCACCAGGTGGAAATCTTGCGGCCTTTTTTGCTTTCCTTGATTCCTACTTTAGTTTTGCTAATGACAATAGGTATAGCATTATTGCGGGGGGTGATTTTAATATTAACATGCTCGCGGATACCCCAACCAGCAGACAAATGAACTTGGTAATTAGCAGCAATGGTTGCACAAATCTCATCACGTCACCGACGAGAATAACATCAGAATCATCAACTTTGCTTGATTTACTTATAACAAACTATGACTCGGCACGTACAAAATCAGGAGTGATATGTACTGATATTAGTGACCATCTGGGTGTGTTCATGTGCGTGACAAAAGTAATCAAGAATAAGAAAATTCAAGAAAGTGTTTCTTTTCAGAATATTACCACAAGCAGCCTTTCCGAGTTTAGACACAAACTTGCAGCCTTTGACTGGAGTGAAGTCACTCAAAAAGAGGATGTAGATGGCGCTTATAATTTGTTTTTAGAACATTTTCAGCAGTTGTATAAACTCTGTTTTCCTTATAAATCTGTTCGATTCTCTAAGAAAAATCGTAAGCCTTGGGTCACTTCAGAACTTATAAACAAGATTAATAAAAAAAATTACTTGTTCAAAAAATTTGTAAAAACAAAAGATTCAGAAAGCCTTAGAGCGTTCAAATCCTTTCGCAACAGGCTTACAAAGGAACTCAGAAATGCTAGATCAAGATACTTTCAAAATTACTTTTTATCAACATCACACCGAGCAGATATCACTTGGAAAAAACTGAATAACGTTCTAAACTTGTCACCTGAATCAAAACCAATTGAAAGAATCTGCTTAGGTAACGTAGAACTAACAAAAAGACGGCTGGCAGATGCTTTTAACGATTTTTTTGTGAGCTTGGCACGAGATAATCCCGACGAAAATGCTTGTGTGTATATTGAACACGATAACAGTAGCTCTCTTTTTCTTCACCCTGTCGTAGATACGGAGGTGACGCAGACCTTTTTGTCACTAAAAAATAGTAGCAGCTGTGATGCCGACGATTTTCAAATAAGTCCGATTAAATATGTAGTTGATATAATCTCTCCTTGTTTGACGCACATTTTCAATTTGTTTTCTGTGTGGTAAGTTTCCTAAAAAAATGCAGATCGCAAAGGTCACTGTTCTTTATAAAAAAGGTGACAGGAATGACTTGGGAAATTATAGGCCCATTTCAATTTTATCTGTATTTTCAAAGGGTTTCGAAAAACTTTTGCTAAATCGAATGGCGCATTTTTCTGATAAATATAGTTTGATCACACCATCGCAGTTTGGATTCCGTAAACAGCTGTCTACAGAGCTTGCGTTGCTAGAACAAAAAGATTACATTTTTCAAACATTTGAGGATAAAAAAATTGCTCTTGGTGTTTTTGTGGACTTTACAAAAGCTTTTGATCATTTAAATCATGATTTGTTAATAAAAAAACTAATGAAATACGGATTCCGCGGAAAAGTCGCAGCGCTCATTGAGTCTTATCTTGCGCATCGTCAACAATACGTATATATTAACGGGTACTCCTCTGACATTAAACCAATCGCATCTGGCGTTCCACAGGGCAGCATTCTAGGTCCCTTTCTGTTCAACTTGTACGTTAATGATATTGTTAACATAAATAAAAACATTAAATATGTCATTTACGCTGATGATACCAGCCTTTTTTTTACAGGATATTGCTTTCACGACCTTGTAATCAGTGCTAATAAAACTTTAAAAGATCTAGTCAGCTGGAGCCAAGATAATGCTCTAAAAATTAATGTTAGCAAAACCAAGGCCATTCTATTTCACTCCAGAAATAAGAGCATTAATATTACATGTGACATTATTTTAAATTCAACTAAGGTCGATATTTTAAGTAGCTTTAAAACACTGGGTGTTATCTTCTCAGAAAGTATGTCATGGGATGAACATGTTCATTACATTTTATCAAAACTGGCACGGGTTGTTGGCTTACTCTACCGTCATCGCTCTATTTTTCCGACGAACGTTAAATTAATGCTTTACCATTCGTTATTTCTTGCTCACATAAATTACTGTCACTTAGTATGGGGAAATACTACGCAAACAAACATACACAAAATTTTTATGCTCCAGAAAAAAATTATTCGAAACATCTGTAACGTTCCATATGATCACCCTAGCAAACCTCTTTTTGAAAATTTGAATCTGATGCAAGTAAGTAGTTTTTATAAGTACCGTCTATGTAGAACTTATAAGTCTCATGAGCAGACAAATGTTGCAAATCTTATTCAATTAGCTTCTCTAACACCTAAAGTGACGACGTACCTAACTCGCAGCGTAGAAAATTGGAGAGTTCCAACTTATAGGACAACGTATGGCCAACAAATGATATCTTATACCCTTCCTAGCCTACTTAACTATCTTTCCGTAGCAAATGTGCAGCTATCGACGACTTCAAATAAAGGTCTTCGATTGTTTTTTTCGAATTCCGATGTGTAAATTATAAAGATTTGTAATTAATTGTTTTGATTATGTTGTGTTGATAGTTAGTTTACAAGTTGTTCCTGTGGATCACGTGAATCTATTTTTGCTTTTCGTAGTCACTTTGAGCACAGTCGTGCCATACGTATTGTTTTTAGAATCTTCAACTATTCAAATGTTACTTTTGTGTGTGTTTATGTGTGTATGTTTTTTGTAACTAATTAATTTACCACATCGCCGCTGTGTGCCAAATTGTGTGGGGGCCGAGGGCTAGTCAAGCTGCTTGATGCAGCTTTTTTCCTCGGTCTCCATCCGTCATTGTATGTGATGGAAAATAAAGTTGGTAAGCAAACATTTTTCTTTATATTTTTCTTGCTACTATGGTTTGTTGGCTCATTGTAGCTGGTGTTCTACTTTACATCCAGCAAAATCTACGAAAGGATTATGCATAAACTTTTTTCGAAAGTCACGTGCCAGTTAGAAGGTCGGAACCAATGCACAATGGCGGAACAATTTACACCGTGAACAATGCAAGCCACTCCATAGGACAGCGAACGTCGGGCGCAGCCAACGCGAGCCTAGAAGCCAATTAAACAGCGTCGAAAGAGCAACATCACAGAGCTCATTACTTTACACTCTAAGAAATGCCCGCGCGTCTACTTACCCGCAAAACACTCGAAGAGCCAATCTCGGCGATCTAGGAAATCAGCTCAGCGAATGGTGAGGCGATACATCCGTTTAGACCTAAAAATGATATCTACGCTGTGGTATTACGCAATGCAAAGCGTCATGCTTGCATTGCGGTCCGATCCATGAGCCGCATTCATATATCGTCACTGGGGGGAATATGATACTATGCCAGCCCTGCGACCTCCAAGCTACGTCATCAAGTTTTGCGAAGCAGATATTGAAAGAAAACGCTCGTTTTTATCCTTGAAATTACACCGCAACAAAACATATCCGTGGTCAGTGGCGTTGCGTACGAGTATATTTGGTCCAGCTATCGCCAGTAAGCTCGTGTAAAGTGAAAAACATTCCAACTGAATATCGTTGTACAGCCCCTTTAATAAAAGAAGCTGCCGGTACTCTAACCAAATCTGTTAAAACAGCCCGACGTTTCGCAGCCTGCTCGGGCGCGTGTTCACGAGTGACTTATTTGGCTGGGTGTTCGTCTTCCTCTTCTTCTCCTTGTCGATGTCATTCAAATCGTTCTCTTCTTTTTGTGACAGCTCGAGGCCCGTGAATATAACTACTTGGGAGGGTACCGATCGTCCGATTCAGGTTGTTCGTTTTATGTTGAATATGCCATGACTGGTAAAAAGAGTCGTTTTTTCGTGTTTCTTTCGGTGTCCAGTACGAAACTGCTGTCGAACTTGATGACGTGGTTGCTCTTTTCTGCGTGTTCCGCTCGAACGATACCTTGTAGGTCCTTCTTTTTTACATAATAATTGTGTCTGCGTAGACGTTTGGGGAAGTTTTTGGTTTCCCCAGATAAGAGGCGTTGCAGTCGGCGCAAGGAATACAATAAACTATGCCTTTGGCTTTTTTTCTTTTTTTGGATAACTATCTTTTGAAAGAGAAAGGTGATGGCCAATGGTCGAGGGGGGCTTATGTGTTACTACTTTGCCGTATGGTTTGAGAGCACGGCTGAGAGCTTCGCTCTTGCCTCGGAGGTAAGGGACACACATGCGGCTGGAGGTATAAGTTTTCTGGGCTGCAGATGGATGACGAAGTTACCTGTAAATATTGTCGACGGATATTGTTGGATATGCGTTTTTTTTAAGGTCCCCGTTTTATAATATCAACTTCCTCTTTACGTGCCTTACCTGTGGAGCAGACCGTGATGGCACGTCGAAATAGTGCCGAAACTACGGAAGATTTCTGAGATGTAGGGTGGGCTGATAAAATATTTAGGTATCGTACGGTGTGCGTTGGTTTTCTCTACACCAGGAATGTCAAAAGGTTGCACGTCGGGCTATTTAAACACAGATGGTTAGAGAACGTGTAGCTTCTTTTATTCATACTCACCTAACCAGGCAGACTTTGCCGACATGTTTACTTTTCAACCGCTCCTCTAAAAAGAAAAAAAAAAGAAACTTAAGTCCTTATTATGTGCTAAACATGAGTTGTTTTTTTCACACCGCTATGGCAATTCAATGTCAAGCTACATGATGACCCCTATACTAACGTCAGGAAATATTATTATTTTGCGTGCGTGTACGTGCTTGTGCGTGTGTGTGCGGGCTTACGTATACGTGCGTGTGTGTGTGTGTGTGTGTGTGTTTGTGCGGGTGCGTGCGTGTGTTTGCGCGCGTGCATGTGTGCGCGCGCGCGTGTGTTTGTGTAGGTTTGCTGCCTTCCATATTACAAAGTGTATGTTTCTTCTTTTTTTCAGAACCTCCGGAAAATGTGGTGATTGTTTTCGGGGCCAGGCCCCATGAAAAACGCCTCACTTCGAATCAAAGAGTGAGGCAAAATGAAGGAGAGGACTTGCATCTCGAATGTCTGGTTGTAGGAGGTCGGTACATCTTGCGCTTTCGCCTCCTACTTCAGGGTAACGTTGGCGGGCTCTAAATGGGGGAACATACTTCTTGGTCGTTCTCGCCTTCCTCGTACACGTGTGTGGCACGCGCCCTCCGCCTCGAAAAGTATCACGTAACGGAGAATAATGGACGTCACCGGCAACCGGTTGGAGACAAAACAAAAATTAGAGTACCGCTAATATCAGCCTACAGGTGTTATTCAAATATGCCTTTTAAAAAGTTTCCATTTGGAACTTCAGTCGCATAATTAACGACCTATCAACTTGTTCGCGCTGTCGAAACACGTAGACTCAGTATTTAAATCCGGGGAGGCCCCTTTTATGTGAAGCAAAGTAGGAACTATACTCCGTTTCACCTGACGTCCGGACGCAGCGGGCGCTACGAGCTACGCTAACCTAGAGTTCCTGTATAGGCTCCCTACGGGAGCCAGAGTTGCGCATTTGTTTTCCCCGCGCCGCCACGCCGCTATTCGCCGAGATCCATCACGTGAGGAGCAAAGCATCCGGTGGCGTGCAAGAAAGCCACCTTTACGGTCGCTCCGCCGACGTTTCTCTTGCGCCGGCGTATGTTTCCCGGCTTTCCACCTCCTTTTCCTCCTCTCCTGTTTTCCATGCGCGGCGGCGCGCGCGGCGCCGCTATTCGCCAAATTTAGTCACGTGAGGAGCAAAGCATCCAGCTCGTGCGGGAAAGCCGGCGCTACGGCCTCGCGCCGAGGCTGAATGCGCAACTCTGCTACCGTAGGTAGCTATACAGGAACTCTACGCTAACCTATCTCGCTGTGGAGACGTAGCCCGTGATACGCTTTCCGCGCGTCGTGTGCCCCCTCTCCAAGATCACGTGACAGTCACACGGCCTCCGATTAGCTCCGATGGCTCGTAACATCCGCTGCGCTCGGACCTCAGTTGAAACGGAGTATAGAGAATATAGTACCTGTAATAAGGTCGAAAACTGGGTTGGTTGGTGTTCGTTAAGCATAATATGGTTCAAACAGAACAAGAATAAATATAGAAATAAAAAAACGGCCGGGGGACAAGAAACGAGCCACACGGGACAAGCACTTGTCCTGCCTTGCTAATTGTTTCTTTCGCTGCATCCGTTTTGTCTTTGTAAAGAGTGACCTGTTTTTCTGTACCACCGTCACATCCGATCGTGAAAAGGTCGTATAGGTATTGGTTTACAACCGTTGACATAATTTTCTTCTTTTCTTTTTTTTTTTTTTTTTTTTAAGGGTCGCGTTGCAATTTTAAAAAGCTGCTGCGCTTTTTTTTTTTTTTTTATAAAAACAAATTTTTGCACTTGTAGGCCGACCTCCACCCCGAATTCGATGGCTGGAGACGAAGCGGAAGGGAAATGTCTCTTATGGAAGTCAAAGCGTACTCAAGGTGCCACGTGTCCCCCGCTACTTGGACAATGCGAGCTTCACCTGCGAGGCTTCCAACAACAACATTACGGAACCCCTACGTACGTCGATGGTCATACGTCTAAACTGTAAGTATGTCAGCAAATATCAGGCCGCCGCATCCTGCCCGTGAATCGAAGGAAGGTTTGCAAGATATATAGGGTCATTCCATGCCGAACATCCCAGACGTACAGACAATTGCCGATTTCTTCGAAAAGATGGGGGTTGTTTCCTTGATTCTTCATATGCTTTTTGCCAAAATATCTTCATAGAAAAAAAAGTATCACGTGAGCGCCCTCTAAAATTTCTACAGCAAAACCGTACTAGGTATAATTTAAAAAAAAAGAAAAACCGAAAAATCGAAGTGATTAAAATGGAATGGATCAGTACGGTACTACAAAAACCGATTACGCCGGTGCTGCACTTCAAATGTTTATTCTCTCGCTTAAGGAAAATTCGCTCCGATAAAATTTTCTTAGTTACTAGGTAACAAGCTGATGCCCTTAATGAGCCGTTCCGTACATTTTGTTTTCATGGGGGCCTTGATGCTTAATTTGAGTCTGAATGTTTAAAAAAAGATGAGTTTTGGGCAACTTATATATTTATTTTGGGGTAAACTGTTTGCTTTATTGTCCTCAAATGATTTAATTTTAAGCACAACGAATAACAAGCACCCAGCCCAGATAAGGTTTTAAATATATATTCAAGGTCAACACAGCTGTTTCTTTTAAATGCTGAGCATGTCTAGTTTTCTACTTGTTCACTCCGGAAAAAAACACCGCAAAACACTTTTAAATAATATTAACACTGTTACAGGAAGTGGCAATCCTATATAGTAGAGTATTTAAAAGTGATTGTGTTATTCTACTTTTATGAATTAGATTTTTCAGGGATTTTTGACTTGTACCTAGTTCGGGTTCGCAGCTGATGTTTCAGGGAGCGCTCACGTGTTCAAGAATCGTTTTCCTAGAAAATTATTTTGGTAAAAGTTTATTTCGAGTTTATCAAACAGCCACCTTTTTCTTAAGAAATTGGCGATGACCGGCATGACCGTCTGGGACGTTTGCCTTGGAATGACCTTATAGGAAGTATTCACTGGCGGCCATAGCTGTGTGCACGACTGCTGAGCGCGTGCTGATGGCAAGCTTCCCCAGTTCTTTTGTAACGTGCATTCCGCACCCTCAAGATTGCCCGTATTAGCAGCCTATTAATGTGGGCTCGTGCAGAGCATGCGCTCTAGACATCACCCACAAATATGGCGCCCAGTGAATACTCCTTATAGCAGGGGACTCAAGTACACGGTTCGCGGACCGCATGCCGTCCGCGACTCTCTGGGACGCGGCCCGCAAGCGTCCCGTGGTTGCGAGCTCCTGTTCCTATGCCTCGAACGCTGCATGCTACATAAAGAATGACCTCTTGTCGTCCATTCATTTCCACTAGAAACGTAGCTCTGCTCTTATGACGTTTTAACATATTTGGCACGGATCTGTTTTCCTTCCGATCGAGGAATATTTCATCTTACATACCTTTAAGGCACTCGTATTTTCTTGAAATTATTTTATGAAAATCGTAATTAAAGCAAAACCTACCTTACGAAAATAATTTCTTTCACGACATATTGAACTACAACGATTGTGTGCTTGGTTCCTAGTTGTATTGAAAAATTCAAGAGCGTTTGCTGGATTGTGGTATTTTAAATCTTGTAATCACGTTAGGTACAAACCCGAAGTAGTTGCATGAATAAATCAAATCCACAGCACTGACAAACGGGCCATCTTACAAAAAGCAAATATAACGAGATCCCTTCTTTAGGAAATCTCTGCGTGTCGCTGAAAGACTCGGCTGCTTTACAACGTGGAACACCATCGCTGATTTGTTGTTGTTCTTGTTGTTGTAGTTGTTGTTTTTGCCCTAATATATATTAATTCTCCACCCCCCGTTGGCTCTCGACATTTTAGGGGTTGGCTATCTGGCCCCACCCTCAAATTAGCTTAAGACCCCCGCCCTATACCTACTCGCAACACCAGAACTCCAACAGCGGTGTCGCGCACAAAAACAAAATGTTCCTGGGCATAGGCAGATCTTTGTTTTTGCGGGTACCAATCTTGAAAGGAGGGCCTTCACGCTTGCTCCTCCCTTTTATTGACGTCACAAAAAAAAATGCTTTCGTATTAAGTAGAGTAGTGACGCCATTTCCCTCTGAGAAGTGGGGAGTGGGGGGGGGGGGGGGGGGGGGGGGGGCTGAGCCTCTCTTGCAGTTCTTAGGTTGCAACACTCTTATACTCTCTGGGCAATGAAGTTTGGTTTGAGAGGTGGCGCCCTCTTATGCGCGATTTTTGCAACTTTGACATAGCCTGCCAGCGCAATCGTCTTACCGTATCTCGAGCTCGAACATCCGAGTGCCCAGCCTAACTCTGACGAAGGGCTCGCGTTTAATCGTTCGGTGGTTAGGCCTTTCCAAAGTTGCCTATTTTGGCCACCAGCAGCGCTGACTAGCAACCGATCGAGGCGCCTCCTGTTCAGGGCCGTGGAGCCATAGTACAGTCCTCTTGGAAACCGCACACGTGCATGAGGTCGTCTGATCCTCCGTATATTTCAGTTAGATGTATGACCTGATAAACGGTCGGTTACAAAATAAGTCGGAAAATAAGATAGTCACGCACAGACCAAGAAACGCGGGACGCGGCATATTATGTCCACGCTTCTCAATTCGAGATTCGTTCTTCGACGTCCTTATCGACCAATCGATCAATCAGCCACTCGATCAATCTCTTATCTGCACAAAGCAAATGAGGGAACGCAGGAGGCGTGCATGGCTAGCAGATAGGACTACCCGTACGCATGAGGCCCCTTATAGCAAACCTCCCGAGCACACGAGGAAATACAAGTCACTGATGAAGAAGGATGAAGTTTAAATTAAACTAGAATATATTAGTTAATATTAGATTCTCGCAGTCTCATTGGCTGCGGAGCAATGAGATTCTCGTTACTTACCGTCAGTAATTAGGGTGTCTATATTCTAATAAAACTGGAGCGTATGTTTTTCCTGCAACGTATTTTGGGAGAGCCAATCGAGGCAATCCATGCAGGGATCTCGGCGAAGGACTAAACTAAAAATATGTTTAGACCTAAAAACAAAAAGGCTGTGGCGCTGGGCATGACGTTTGACCATGTCCAGTGCCACTCTGCATACTGTTCCTTTCTTGAGGTCTAAAACATATTTCAGCCTAGTCATACGCCGAGATCCTTCCTTAAAGACTGCATTGATTGGCTTTCCCAAAATGCTTTGCGGGTAAGGTAGGCCCTCCATGCAGACTTATTTGAGTGTATCCCAACTAGTGTGCGGGAAAATGAGTACTTCAGATTGCTTAGACTCTACATCCAGCTGTAATAAAATTACTGTTTCATTTATAACATTTCATTTTCTCTCCCTACACTTCTTTTTTCTACTTTCTTCAAGTCGTGAGACATTTCTGCTTGTTTTCACTGTCTGCGCAAATTGAAACGCGGTAGCTTAAAGGCGTTTCTATTGTCCCGCATAATGCAAGAGACATACTCGGTTGACGTTGGCACAGCTTCGATTGGATCTTTAATATTCAAGAGACTGAACGCGTTTCTAATTTGCAGGCGTTCATGAACGCCCATCGGCGGACGCACGAGTGTACAAATATAGAGTAGGCCGTATTCGCGTGAAATAGAAAAGTAAAGAAGAAAAGCGTGCTTTTGTTTTTTATTTGACTTAATGGGACTAAATAGATACGAACGGTTGCAAACGCCCATAGTAACACTTCAGTCCGTATACGCTAGGCAAACCCGCCAATCTGTCGCATAAGTGCTAAGCTCCACGGAGCGAATGTGTAGCCAACAACAACGGCCCCCTCTGGCAAGCGCTCAGAGAGCAGCCAGTGGAGAGCAGGTGACATCCGGCGCAATCGTGATGTAGTCTGTCTCGGGACAAGCAAAGTTGTGGCGAGGCTGACGTCGACAAGACGTTTGCACGCAGGGAATCTGGCCGCCGCCATGTCTCTGCTCGTACGGGCAAGTGCGTGCAATTGCAAGCTTATCAAAGCTATACCTACGCGTGCACGCTGCACATACTTTGAAGCATGGAGCACCAGTTAGGCTATAGTTCTAGGCGAGACAGGCATCGTCCCTGCCTGTCAATGTTCCTAGACGGACATTACAAACGAGGCTTCAGCGACATCCCCCATTTGCCATTTGCTATTTAATTCGTTTTAAAACTCCTTCTCGTGTCTTTTTCAATAGAGATCAGGGTGTCCGATGTGATGCTGCTTCCGACACGTATAGACCAAGAAATAAGCGCCGAAAGTTTGTTGTAGTATTCCTTTAAGGCTGAAACACATGTGCGAAAAAGCAATGAACAATTGTTCAGATATGCGCAAAATAGTTCCACGCGTTTCATTGTTGTTTATTTTTGTTTTAATTTTAAAAGCCGCGTGCGGGAATTTGTCGAAAGAAAACGCAAATACATTTACGGAACCGCATTTGTTACCTGGGCGCAGTAAATACCCTCGCTATGTGAAAATAGTGGAAAAAAATTTTTTTTTTTTTTGTTTCGATTCGGAATTTTGTGTTTTTATACTTTAGTTTTTTCCGCACATTTGTTTCCGGTTTATTAACTGGCCTCCCTCAGAAATCGTACCGAAGCTCCTGCATACGAAAAACAAACGCGGTTCCCTCCATCCCAGACCGTTTCCCCCTTCAGGGTGCAGGCCGCCTTTTTTAAGCGAAGACGCCTGTATCGAGGAATATTTCGAACAATGAATCGTGTTACTTTTTATATACGCAAAAAAATCCAAGGGGTGTGGTTTGTGTGTGACAGTACGATCTCCTGTTGAAGCCTGCACAACAATTTGAAGTTGCTTTTCTTCCCTCTAATAGTTGAAAATTTACAGTAATTAAGCGCCGATGCGCAGCTTTCGTGTCCGCACTCTAAGAAATGCCTGTGCGTCTACTTACCCGCAAAACACTCGAAGAGCCAATCTCTGCGATCTACGAAATCGGCTCAGCGAATGATAAGGCGGAATGTCTGTTTAAGCCTCAAAATTAAGTATGCGCTGCACTCTAAAAAAAGCCCGTGCGTCTACTTTATCGCACAACACTCGGAGAGCCAATCACCGCAACTTGCGGAGGCAGCTCAGCCAATGACGATGCAGAAACATATGTTTAGACCAAAAACCGCAGACTGAGTTGTGACATTAAGCAATGCAAGCGTGACGTTTTGCATTGCTTAATGTCACAACTCAGTCTGCGGTTTTTGGTCTAAACATATGTTTTGGCATCGTCATTCGCTGAGCTGTCTCCGTAGGTTGCGGTGATTGGCTCTCCGAGTGTTGTGCGGGAAAGTAGACGCACGGGATTTTTTTAGAGTATGTGTCATTACGCAATGAAAGCATGAGGGTTTGCATTGTGTGATACCACAGCGCAGAGTTGATTTTCAGTTCTAAACCGATGTTCCCCCTCATCCTTCGTTGAGCTGATTTCGTGATAGCAGAGATTGGCTCTTCGAGCGCTTTGGGGTTAAGTATAGACGCGCAGGCATTTCTTAGAGTTCGCGCCTCACGGGCATAGCAGGCAACGATAAACGGTGGTGAAATAGCAAACGATGCCAGAGGCTGCCGCACGTCTGCTCGCACAACTAGCAGCTATGGGCGGTGTCAGACGCCAGACTAGACGCATCGGATGTCGCGAAAGGGAGACGCAAGACTTGTTAGCGTGTTCAGCCGAACAGCCAAGCTAATCCAGTAGTAATGGGCGGGACCGCTGATATGTGGGCGGGGCTTAGAGCGTGCCGTGAACTCCACCTAAATTGCGCCTAACGGCGGAAATATTGCGCGAATATTTTTTTTGCAAAAAACTTACCCTTCGCCATTAAAAAAAAAAAAAGAAAACATTTTTTTTTTTTCAGTTTAGTTTTTTTTTAAGCGGGGAAAATCTCCTTGGTACTCAAAAGTGACGGCCCTGTTGGGACGCATACTGCTACAGCTTATTCTCGAAGGGTCAAATATTCTCCAATGTCTCTTGGAGTGCGCAAAACCTGAGTGTGGTCATAATATACACTGACAGAATAAGAACGGCAGGGAGGACTTTCAGTTGTACCGCCTCCAGGGCGAGCTTCACAACTTGGATAACTCTTCGGTGTCTTGTGATCTTGGAGCGTGCATGCGCCTCCAAAGCACGCGGCGGAACGAGCGCGCGCCGGAGGTCGAGCATCCGAAAGAGTCGCCTTGCGCTTCTTGTTCCGCCATCTGAATGTGGCGAGCACCAACGTCATATCAGCTGCCATATCGGTGGCCTTGCTGCCGTGCGCCAACCTTCTTGCGGCGTCCATTTTGCTGTCACCAAATTTGTGTTTCTTCGCAATAACAACTGCCAGGAATGACCGCCAGTATGGTGCCAGTATGGGCGGCACGTGCAAGCCATATATCGCGTGCAAAGGAAGGCAGGCTTGGTACAGAGCCCTGCAGACTGTGGGTGAGCACGGTGCCACGGCAGTTTGTTCCAGGTCTTTCCAGAACCAGTATGCCTGTGTTTTGTCATCGTTAATCTGAGTTGCTGTGACCACGGACAGTTTAACGAGGACTCCCCCTCCCGCCTTCGTAGATTTCATTCTTCTTGAATAGCATGTTACATCTGAATACTTTTCGAATTTAGTTTAGGATGTTGCAATTTCGAATAAGATGATTTTATTTTTCTACCTTGATGCACATCGTATAAATGTGGGTCTAATAACAATGTTGCGGGCTTTTGTTGAGCTAGCTGGCCCATACTTGTTAATCTGAACAGCTGAATTTGTTTACGAAGCACGAAGTTAATGGACCGGTGTCCATCCCTTTACCTTCGTGTTGGGTAAATATGTTCAGCTGTTCACACTAACAATTAACTAATAACAATGTTTCGGCAATTCAAGTTGCATAAAGGCCCGTTCACACATGCAGCGGAGCGCTACAAGCATCGCGCTAACCTCGCGCTAAGCGCGTGCTGTCGGCAGCGTTCACCAGCTTTGTATCGCACCGTCAAAACTGTTGCTCATGGCAGAGGATAAGTAGCCGACGACACGTGAGGAGCGCTACATGAGCGCTTCGCTGCATGTGAGAACCGGCCTTAAAGCCTCCAACGTCTTTTTAGAAAAACACTTAGTTTTTTTTTTTTTTTTACTTCTTTTGGTTTTGTTTTGTCAGTGAAGCCTGTCAACGTGAGCATCCGCAACAAAAATACACCCTTGAAAGCTGGTGTACTTGCTCGGGTGGAATGCGAGTCCTATGGATCGAGGCCGCCGCCTCAGTTCTCTTGGTGGCTGGACGGCAAAGAGCTGGTGAACAACTCGAGGAACGTTGAGAACGACCTGTCCATCCTCTACTTCGAGCCGACGGTGCAGAACAATGGCCAAAAACTGTCCTGCATATCCAGGAACCCCTTGATCAGAGACAGCGAATGTGCGGATGTCTGGAGCCTCGACGTTCATTGTGAGTTCTTCTTTGTTCACTTGTTTTTCGCCCTATCAATGGTCCTAATAAATCATAAAGTTCTCGAGAATTAAAAAAAAAATCACGAACATTAAGCAATGCAAAATGGAGAGCCCAGCTTGCCATAACGAGGTTTTGTGATTGCAGTAGTCACGTCAGAGTGCTTGAATAAACAAGAATGTTTGGTTCTTAAGATCGTGAACAGGTTTTTGAAAGAGCTCTGTGATTACTCAGCATGAATTATCTTTGTTCAAGTGCGCAGTGAACATTACTTTATTTATTGATATAACTTTTAAATTAAGACTACACAAAACACGATGATTTCTAACGTTGGCGTTTACTTAGAAATATCGAAACCATATCTCGCCACAGCTGTTTAGCGTGTCAAATGAATCCTGAGTAAGAAAAACGATTTTCAGCATGAATCTTTCCCGGCGATAACTGTATTGAATTACATAATCGTTCACTTCAATCGATGGCATATCTCTCAAGATACCCCAGACTAGATTAGGTAAATATAGGGTGGTTCAAGTCACCAGGCTCGAACTAAAATGGACCGTAAAAATCGACGCCTGCACGTAGCCATCTAAACCTTTCGTCAGAGGTCTATTTCATAGGTCGGTTTTTTCTTGTAAAATTACAATGCGTAGTTTTCTTTTTGTAAAAAATAAGGCCAAGAAATATGCCAGGGTCTACGGCGGGCAGCGACGCAGACGACAGGGGTTCAGTAGCGGTGTGTGTTTGGTGTTCGTATCCATAGAAGGCGTCGGGAGCAGCGTCTGAAGCATAGAGTTATTATAATGCACGCTAGAGGTTCAACTGGCGCTAGTGTGCTGCTGCAAATTGAAGCAGACAGCAACCAGTCCTAAATTGACTTCCGGTAATGCATTTCTATGGGAAAAAGCGAGTGCATTTTCTCCCTGAGCTCGATTATAAGAGCAAATATCACTAATAATTCGTACGTACTAGGTACATTGGAACATTTCTCAGTCACGCAGACGAAATAATTGGTCAGTTACGGCGTTTTTATTTTAAATTCGTGGCATAAAAAACGGTGCTAAAACGGCATTGTACGTGTATTTATGTGCACTGTCGGACACCGTTAGCGCGAACACGACGTCGGCGCTTTCTAGCATGGTGGATATACTTGCCAAACGAACGAAGGAGATCTGGCATACCATGGAGGGACGGCAAGAACTACGCAGTAACACTGGATAAGTAACTCTTTGTGCATGCAGACGATGAAAAGAAATTGAAAGCCACGTAATATAGTCCGATTTCTATTAAATACGTGTACTACTTTATTCTTTCTGCTCATGAATATGTGCGAATATGGTTGTTCTGGGTTGAAAGCATAACCCGCACGATCCAAATCTCTTCAAATAGGGAGAAGCCAGAAAACAAATGCCCAATAAAAACTGCCTGACATAGGAAATAATAAAAAGACATACCTTTCGTAGCCCACATACTTTATTTTTTACATTCGAATGTTCTTTAACCGATCGTAAAGATGCACGACGGAGTCATTTCTATAGAGTGACAGGACGGGCATATTAGCAATATATAAGCGCCACCGGAATGCTAGCGAACCTTGAACACACTCTACATTCCTTTCGATCGTTATTTTGTTAAGAATCGTCGCTCGTTTTTACATACCTACCATAGTACAGAGGTTTGGGCCTGAAATATCGAGAAGTTTAACATCGTTCAGTGGTAAAGAAAAATGCTGTAGCTAAAGCAATTACACTTTCAAAATATCAATAAAGGTACATACTATACGGTACAACCGAAATAACAAAACTTATTCACGTTATTTTCCGGCGAAGCGACAAAATTTACGGGCGTTTTCCCATAGGAATGCACAGGGGACCGCTAGAGTAGACTGGTTGCTGTCTGCTTCAATTTGCCTCCCGGAAGTCGCGTAGACACTAGCGCCAGTTGAACCTCTAGCGTACATTATAATAACTCTATGGTCTGAAGGTGCAGCCGACCAGCGAAAGATAGCAGATGACACGCAGACGAAATCCGTTGGCAGCAAAAGCGTCGCCGTTATGCAGACGCGATTTTTACTCTAAGTTTTGCTTTTATTGTTGGCATTTATGTTTTAACCGAAGGTACATTTCAAAAAGGTTATGTTCATTTTAATAAACCACGGTGGTCGCGAGCCGTCGCGATCGTCGCGATAAGGAGGTGGCGCCATCTATCAATACGAACGCCAAACACAACCCGCTACTGGACCCCCGTCGTCTGCGTTGCTGCCCGCCGTAGACCCTGGCTAGTTTCTTGGCCTTATTTTTTACAGAAAGGGAGCTACGCTTTGTAATTTTAGAAGAAAAACCGACCTGTGAATTACACCTTTGACGAAAAGTTTCGACTGCTACGTGCAGGCGTCGATTTTTACGGTCCACCCTATACTTATTGTAATTCATTTACCGAACAGACACGCTCCAATCTTCATCCTGGCAATGAATGCATAAACTTCAGGTCAAGCACTCAACTTCAAACTTGGGCCACCTAGGTCCTTTAAACCCATATACATAGAATTGTCCACACAAACTATAAAATACCCGTGAATGCACAAACCTATTACTCGACTTGTTGTCGCGTTTGCTTTGTTTTGTTCCTCATAGTCAAGCCACAGATTACTCTCCTCTTCCGGGGGCTGCGAATGCAGCTTATGAACGTTACAAGAGGTGCAACCGTCTCCTTCGAATGCCGAGCGATGGGCAACCCCATCGTGGCCAACATCACCTGGCTGCTCAACAGGCAGCCGATGCACAAGGCAGTGGCCTCAACCCAGGACTACTTGTTTCGAGGTTCCACTGTGGTAGACATTTTGCACGCCCGTAAAAACCACACCGGCACCTACTCCTGCCTCGGCACCAACGCCATTGGGAGTACTCGCAGCAACGAGATGTTCCTGCGGGTTTTGTGTGAGTGTTTTTTTTGTGCTTCCTATTCGCGTCTCCAACTGTCTATAGGTAGCGCAGTTCGTTTTCCAAAGTGGTGGTAACAGTGAGGGTCGGAGATGCGTGCTGGTATACCAGTTGCTGAGCCTGTCTAGTGTGCTGGCTTTACTGAGCGACACACATGATTCCCGCTTATAAGAGGAAGCTAGGCTGTTATGAGCGCAGGACACCTCTTTGTCCTGAGAACAAAAAAAAAACGCCGCAATATTTACGCCAGAAGGAACGTTTTAATTCAGGAACGAAACCGAAACTAACTTATATTTTGACTTAATTTGTCGCTCTACACTCCGTGCGACACGACCGACGCGCCACCGAGCGGCCACTACCAAAGAGGAACCGACACGAAACCGCGCCGCGTACTCTAGTACGCATTGAAGTCGAGCGGTTTCGCTGAGTTCATAGCATGAACTGCCGTGTCGTTCGTTAAGTGGTCCAATCGTTATGCGTTGTCCCGTGAGGACCAAGTTTTATAGCTTTTCAAGTCGCCGACATTTTGTGGGACAGCGACAACGATGGATCCGTGCCATATACGACGCAAGAAATTTGGTCTCCAGATCATATCTGCCACTGTGTCGGCATAGCTGATATATTCTGCACTGCCGCTTTGCGCTCTGCGTTTGGTTTTGTACCATACAGTAACGCCTACATATGTTAGCGCCCATGGGGCGAACTGAAATGCCATCCCACACTCGCGGGTATGCAGTGCCAATTTCGTCGGAGGAATTCCCTCCAAAGACGTTTCGTCCTCATCGTACGTGTCGATTATATTTCCGAACCAGTACGGCATGCAGTCTGTACTTCACGAAGAAAGATTCGGCTGTTACAAAAAGGGACAAATATAAATCTGAGGACAACTACAATGAAACTTGGGATCACTGGACAATCGACGTTTGAGTATGGCAGTTTATGTGATGTGCTTTCTTTTTCTATCAGTTTCCTTTTGAACGTGGAAATCGCCTTTCTTCACATATGGGATTGCCGGTAGGCAATATAGATGACTGCAAAACAAAACGCCGGAATTGTTTTTTTATCACATTAATCCAAAATAACTAATACAGCTCAATAAAAAAAGTGAAAAATATATTCTTAAAAAAGTCAAGTAAATCAATACCATATATATATATATATATATAAATTAATTTACCTTAAAAAAGTCATTTGTTTTTCGCTAGTCTTTTTGAGCACGGGAAATCGATTCCTCAGTCCGCCCTAGTCGCTGAAAACTATATAGCAGAAATATTCAATTCAATATGTATTGATATCGTAAAGTGCAGATTCATGCAATACCTTTTCTTTATATAACCCTCGTCATGGTAGAACAAAAAGAGCTTGATTTGTCTGGTTATTTAGCAAGTTTTATTTGCTGTAATACTTCAGCAAAACACAATAAGAACAGCTCCGAAGTTTATATGAAAATGCCGAGGAAACAGCTCCTCTTCGCCAGATTGTTTTCTATCCGCGTCGTGCAAAATGTGCCACCGTTGCCATTGCTTCTTAGGCCGGTTCCCAGCTAAGTATTAAAGGCCTCTCAGCCGCCCCTAATAAAAAAAGCAAATATATATCGCCCTGGAGCGAGCCGACGTCATCAGCTTTGAAGCCGCGCCGAACGGCACCTTAAATAGGGTGACCACCTTTCTGCAGGCGAAATGCGGGACACCCTGACCGGGGGGGGGGGGGGGGGGGGGGGGGGGAGTGAGTGAGTGAGTGAGTGAGTGAGGGGTAAGAGGAGTACGGTGTTTTCATGACTCAAGGAAAAAGTATTAAAAAAAATCACCATCACGCACACCCCTATATACTGTGCACTCTGAAATCATGTTATACACCTCAAAAATTGTTTGGCGGCTATTAAGCTGGAATAATTTTCACTCGCAGTGATATATTTTTGTTTAATTGTAATGATAAATATTTTATTATGAGTGCCTAAGTTGAAAACATATAAATCGGCTACAGCAGACCCCAATGCATGAAAGGGAAATAACAAACAGTAAGTCTTTTTCGACTTACTGTTTCCTGTCGATACTTACTGTTATACTAACATGCTCATGCACAAAATTAGAACCTTATGTTGTTGTTTTTACGACCATTGTGAGTTGCAGGTTTTTTGGCTTGTTTGGCCGACTTCACTACAAAAAACATTCCAACAACCCTTTCGCATGACACAGTATATGATTTCCAAATAATTACAATAGTTTATTTTTCAACTTTTGGCGAGAAATTTTCGCTCGCGATATTCTGCCATCAAGGGTAGAGGCACAACGGCACATGCGCGTCAGACTCCTGCAAGAACGACGGTCGCTTCTAGCAGTGCTTGTATAGAAAATGCCATACCACCGAGATTCACACGTTTATCAGCGACCTCAGTGCTACCCCGTGACTCGTCTTTCGGAAGCGCCATAATTTGCGTAGTCGAATGCTACGACAATCCGAAATGCGGGACATTTTAACGATTTTGGTATTTCTTGCGGGACGCGGGACATGAGCCCTCAATGCGGGACAGTCTCGCGAGTCGCGGGACGTGTGGTCACCCTAACCTTAAATCCTTTCTCCAAGTGAAGCCAGCTCCCAGCTATGAAACCACGCGATAGCCAAACGGCACTTAGTTTCACCGATCCCAAAGGAGCGGAGTAAAGCTGATGAATTTCGGCTTCGGTCCCATTGGCTGGTGCGCGTCGACGAGGCTCCCAATGGCCGCTGCGCGTCAGTTTCAACGACCGCCACCCAATGGCGCTGCGTGTCCGCGAGGCAGCGGCTCCACCGCTCCACGCCCAAGGTCAAGGGGTGTCGCGAACCGGCCGCGGTTCGAGTTCGACCAGGTTCGACTTTTTGGAACTTTTAGTGGAAAGTTCGACGAACCTTCCATTGAGGTTCGACTCGTGTGCGCATGCGCGACAGGCTGGCCAGTTGGCTTCGGATTGGATGATAATGGCTAAGAGATGAATTAAGTGCAGCGCTGATTGGCTATTTCAGTTAATACAGTACTAAAAAATAAGTTATTAACTTCTTCATTGATTAGAATTAGTTTCTTTTAATTGCAGCTGTTCACAATATAAAATAACTCTTTGCATAAATTTTTTTTTTCAAACGTAGACATGCTTGTATTAAGGTCTGGCCACACTGTACACAAAGTCGAACCGGTCAAATCTGGTGAAAAGTACGAAGGTTCGTCAAACCGGTTCGACCCTGTCGAACACCGAAAGTTCGACCAAAAAATCTAGTTCGACAAAAGTTCGCGACACCCCTACCAAGGTCGGCGCGCCGAGGACAACGCGCGCGATCGACCGTCGACGCAAGTACGCCGGAGGTGAAAAAAGGAGCGGAAGAGCGGCGTGCATGGTTTCGCATTCACAACCCATAAGATGTGCTTAGGTGTACCTCGAGCCTTTTTTCGTTTTGCTTTAAAGTGCGCAAGGTGGTGGCATAATTTTATGGAAAAGTGGCAAGCTTGTGGAAGACAAACCGTATATATACTGACCGATGTAAGATCAACCTTACATGTACAATTAAATCTGCCTGGACCTGTCTCTCTTAGTCACTCCCTTTACCGGTAGGTGTGCACACGAATACAAGTTTTTGCTGGTTTCCTTCGCATTCTGATATGCTTGCATAAGATGCCATGTAATCAACGAAAGAAGTGGGAGATAGAAACAAAGCTCAACTCTCCGATTAGCGCAGAGGAGCACCGCATTTTGCTTGTGTTCAGCCTGTTATACTTTTTACTTGCCTGCAGTTGTTTCTTTAACTTAAAAAAAAAATTACATGGACGGCATCAAATAAGAAACAATAATAAAAACGTAGTTATGCGGTTTGTTATTCTTGTGGAAAAGGTGTTTTTGCGGAAAATCATCATAGTGAAATTGGTGTGGCTCAAATCACAATTTAAATCATATTGGTTTTTATTCTCCACCCTGACCAATGAATTTGTGGAAGATTATTTTCAGGATATAAATGCCTCGTCAATCTTATGAAAATGTGCAGTGGTTGCACCTTTTACAAGCCGGGAAGGTTTCTCGTCGGAAGCCAGCATGCAGTGTGATTGATAGAAGATGTGAAATTTAGTTTCGAGAACAGCTAAATGACCTTCTGGGGTTTTTCCCCAGCCCTCATGCAACGTCACCCTCAACGTATTGGCTCAAAGAACCAAAGTTCCGTCCGCGTACGCTTCCGCCGCCACAGCTTCGTACGCGAAAGGGCGCCGCAGGCTGCTGAACGCGTCTCACTGTTGCACGCCAGCTCCTCCGCTAGTGGCGCTACGCGCGTTTTTCAAAACGCCCCCATAGACCGTTTTATCGTGGGTAGCGCCATTTCGAGAGCGAGAGAGAACAGGGACAATGGCTGAGGTTTCCCCCTTGCTGGTGCGTCAGAAAGAGGGAAAGTCCCGGATGAGAGGCTTCGCCGGTGTTGGGTGTATGCGTGGCCCGAACTTCGTCTGCACTTTTTGCTCTGTTTTAAACTTCCAAACTTAATTAAAGCCTCGGGCTTGGATGGCGACAGTCCCCCGGTCATCGGGACACCATTGCTCGGTCATAGGGTGCCGAATGACGACAGAAAGTGTCGAATACTGTCCAAAGACCTACAGAGTGTCTCAAATGGTGGCCAGGCTCTTTAAATCGACCGCCAAAATCGGTTTCTTAACCTATCGCGCTACGATTTTGTGCAGCGTTGCCCGCAGGTGGTGCATTTTCTTTTCTTTTTTATAAAATTCGCAAAGAGAGAACTTACCTGAGGAAAAAGAAAAAAAAATGGAGAGGCCTAACTTCTATGGAAACGCAGCGAAGCCACCGGTCATCAAACAGTAGGGCGCCGTTTGGCACGGGAAGCAAGAGATGGCGCAAGCGGTCATGACGACAACTGCCGCCAGCGAACGAGCATACGGCGCCGAGAGCCGGCGTCATTAGCAGACGATCTTTTCGAGCGGCGCGCTTTCCGCAAGCGGCGACACTCGGAAAACCAAAAACAGGCGCGGT